TTTTTTTTATTATTTATTTATTTTTTGCAAATATAAATGATTAAATAATAGATATTCAATTTTGGGGGAGGTCACCCCACATTACATCTTACAACCTGAACTAACCACAAATTATTTGATATTTTAAAAGCTTTGACACACAGTCACGAGGGTCTGCAGGGTTCCTCTCTATGATGTCATTTCCTGTTTTGTTTTTTTTGTGTGCAATGTGGTCTGCACTTAAATGCAGCTGGACTTTGAAACAAACTAGCAGAAGAGTGAGATATACAAGTCTGTCTTTTCTGTTGCTTGTAATTGAGCTCTATAGAGGAGCACACTCATCCTCCTTAGTTTTTTTGAAGGTACTCCTCTCTTTCAGCCCAGATGTTGGAAAAATCATATTATAGTATTCGCTGTCTACCTTCAAAAGAAATCAAAGAGATGCATCTCATAATGCCAAGCTCTCTGTGCAGCTGCTCGCCGCTTGAAGTGTTTAGGAGGAGAATGATGATCTAAAAACTTAATTACTTCAAAGGAGTGGAAATAATTTGTCATTTAAAATCAAAATCAGATTTCATATGGCTAAATAAAACAACAACACAACCTCAATCATATAATTTACCGAACCACAGATGTTTGGTCAGACCGCAACTCAACCCAAGAGATCCATCAAGTGGTGCTTACTATACGCTCTATGAATGAAAGAGAAACACGCCGCTGGAATCCATGACAGCTCTGGAGGAAAATGTGAAATTCTTGCAATGTTGACCTTCAAGTAGGTAATACGTAATCTCTTCAGATTACTACAGGAAAACAAAGAGACACTGCACAAACACAGATGTCTAACCCAGAATGTCTTGCTTGTGAATGGATACTATTCTGAAGTCATGAATCATGCATGTTTTTCACAGCTTTAAAGCAATTATTCATCAAAGAATTATACACACATACATACTGCACATTTTCCCTCATGTCATTAAAAAAAGTTATGGAAATATGGAAAAATGAAAGATTCTGCAAAAAAAAAAAAAAATCTGATTAAAGAATGCTCAGAAAGTTCACATTTTTGCCTTTTACAAACAAAAACAGCAGCATATGGGTTTGGAACAGCATGTAGGTGAGTAATTAATCACAACATTTAAATTTTTTGGGTGAACTATAGCTTAAAATGCACAAGACAAAGCTAAATTTGCATATCTTGTGCATGCTTACAACACACAGCACTGATTTGTGTCTTGTTGGCCTGTGACATAATCATATTGATAAATCTGCAAATGAAAACGGGTGTGTGAAGCAGTATGGAGGTTCTCAGAGGCCATGCTGCTTAATCACTCTCCATACTGTAGCAGCAGTGATCTATAGCGGCTGTTCTTTGGCTGAGATCCGATATTATAGCACATTCCCCTGCTACACTCAAGAGCTCTCATTAGGAAGCCTGCCTCTTTTAGCCAGACACCACTTTGATTGGGGCTGCTTTCACTGGTCACAATGAGTGATTGCCTGCCTCTATTGGAGCCGAACTAGGCTTGCACCTGGAGGATGAAATGGCCATGTAATTTTGCGCCACTCTGGAGCTGACAAAACATTTTATGGCCCTTGTTTTCCTGGACGATATGAAAACGATCTCTAGCTAATCACCATAAAGCGATGAAGGATTAGGAAAGGCCACCCACATTGAGGACTGAAAGGGAGAAGAAGTGAGAAAAACAGATAACAATAACAATAGGACAAAATAACTGACAAGAATCATGCATGCAATACTTTTCATTTCAGGTAGTAAACTGTTCTAATCTCATCAAATGTTTCCTGTTAATTTAGTAACATTTCTTTGAGAAACAACTCCATACCTATAACTCAATTACAGCTTATAGCTTAACTTTTTATATATTTTTATATAGTAACTTTTACTTGCCCTGTCATCATTTTCACTTGCTCCACTACAAAATAAATAAATAATAAAAAAATAAATTCAATTAAATAAATAAATAAATAATATATAGACATTCACATTTATGTTACAAAATATTTGTATTTTAAATATTCAAAGAATATTTCTATTTTAAATATCATGTTAGAATGATATTAGCATATGAGAATAATTTTGAAGGATCATGTGAAACTAAATTGTAATATCATTATAAATTATTCACTTGTAATAATATTTAAATGATTCAATAATAAGAATAGTAATAATATTTCACAACATTAGTGTTTTTACTATAGGCTATTTTTATCAAATCAAAGCATTCAAAAACTCCAAAAATTCTTTCCCAAAACTCCAAAAATTATATCAATTTAACAGTATTACATTTCAACGCCTCAGTGCAATAATAAAACAGTACTCAAAAAAGTCTGAGATCTAGAAGTTACTGTAAAATTCCCATGAGCAAGCCTAACTCAAGGAATCGCTTGTGCTGATACTGAATAATGAATTTCCTGGATTTAGCTTTTAGCTGAAGTGCAAGTCTTTCTGAAATATCTTGTATTACTCCTCACAACAGCTTTCTCAACAGCACTTTCGCTCTGCGTTTATGAATTTCAGATGCGGGAAGTTTTTCGCTGATCCCAGAGCGGTACAAACCTGCTGATACACTGATACATTTTCTCACCATCTGGTGAATACAGCTGTGCAGCATTAATACATAAAACAAACATTTTCAATTAAAAAAAACACATTATCTGAGCAGATTAAGCTGTTGGCTGGATCTGGATACCTTGCTAACACAACTTGGGACTGTGCTACTTCTTTAATGTATGTTTGGATATGTCATTATAAATACTACTTTAGTTCTGCAAAGAGTTAAGACTTTTTTTTAAGACTTTATTTAAAAATATCTAGATATTTATTTGTTAAGATGAAAAGATCTTCATGTCTTTTCCTAACATACTGCAGCTGCAGCTGTCACTGTATTTACTGTAGTTTCACTTGTCAGCCAACTTTTTGGAAACAAGAAAAGACACCCAAAACAGCCCAGTGTGAGGACAGTGAAGTTCAGCAGGTTCACATTGGGTCTTGTTTATATGCACTGAGTAGTTTTTTTGTGAAAGCTAATGTACACATTATTGGCAGCATGCCAACTGAGGTGTGGTCTTGTTCTGTTGGAGGGCCCAGCATTCAGAAGCTCTGGAAAAAAAGTCCAACACAAAAGGAAGCAGACATAATGCCCGCCTACTAAATGACTAAAGTCTTCATTAATGTCCTATTAATAAGAGGCATATTTCCCTGACAGAAAAAAATGGATGCCCAATAGGCCATTTTTACAGATTTTAAAAAGTCAAGTTTCATACTTTAGTTATTCCAAGAAATTATCCCGAAATCATTGTGGAGGTTCACAACTATTGTTTGAAGAATAATAAAGGAAAAAAGGAAGCATTGGCAATAAATCTGAAATAGCTTTACATGTAAATGTCCTTGCAGACTGCACACAATATACAGCATTGTCTTATTCACGCACAAATGACTCTGATGAACTGATTCTTTTTAGTGAATCAACAACACACAGCACAAGCAGTGTAATCTGATTCACAAACAATTGACTCTTATGAACTGATTATTTGTAGTGAATCAAAAACATATAGCATAAGCTGTGCAGTCCGACTTATAAAAAAAACTCGAATTGAGTCAATCCTTTAACTCAATCATTTAAAAAGACTCACAAACATAGGATTTACCATTTAAATCAGTCTGACAAAACCTTCATAATATTATATTGTTCAAATACATATACATAACTATAAAAAATACAATCTATCTATCTATCTATCTGTCTGTCTGCCTGCCTGCCTGCCTATCTATCTATCTATCTATCTATCTATCTATCTATCTATCTATCTAGTTGGAGTCTATCTGTCAGCCTTTCAATCTGACAGTCTGCCTGTTTCTGTTTCGAAAATGTTTTGAATAGTGTTAGCGCATTCAGTCATTATTTGTTTATGTTGGCAGTCATGATGACACAAGAGTTCATACGTCTAAGTTTTCCAGTACAAATCATTCATAATAGAGGGACAAATATTTCATCCTTACTAGGGGCCGTAACAATACATTGATATGGGCCTATACATCAATCAAATGACCAACAATGTATCAATGCAACACCTAAACTATATCTTTTTAAGATTAACTTTTGAACTTTTATTTTTTATGTTAGCCATATTTCCACATATTGTCCAGTGACTGTTCTACGTATTTCCACCAAGATGTGCATTCTCTTTTAAAATGTACAAGTGCCAGATGATCATGATGCAGCAACCTAGCATTGCTGTTGGCAGCCAAAAAAAACACAGACAGTGTATTCCCTCCTGTCAAACTCAAGTCATGGGAAGCACAGAAAACTAAAAGACTTTCCTCACTGTTGTCATTGCTTATCTCATTGAACAAGCCAATGATGAGCTGTCATTAAATGATTCATGATCTCATGTGCAACATGATTTTTTCCCCATCATTTATTGTTCTGTATCAAAGTGTTTTTGTTGTGAATATCCCGATTTGGATACAGTATTTGCAATTTTCACAGAGTTAAATTACATGTTCATGATATATTTTGGTTGCATTTGTGAGCTTTAATTTAAAAAATGTAACTGGTTGTGTAAATTAGGCAAATACTATTATAATATTGTTATCACAGGCCCCTGAATCTAATCAAATCATAATCGTATCAGGACATGTTTGAGATGCTGTCAAATATCATATATAGGTGTCAGATCCAGGGATATTATCGTTAAAACTAGAACTAAAACTATAAAAACAATTTTGAAATAAAGCTGAAATAAATTAAATATATTAATATTTTAACTTCTTAAAATCTTATAAACTTTTTTTTCAGTTTCCCTTTTGTATTTAGTTTAATACTAACTGGAAATAAAATAAATAAAAACTAAAACAGAAAAAAATTTAACCTTAAAAGTAATATTACAAAGAAAACTAATAAAAATAACTAAAGCACACAATAAAATTACAAAAAAATGAACTAAAAGGAAAATGAAAAGTGGAAGTATAAAAATAGCTAATTAAAAAATATTAATAAACACTGTAGTAGGTATAAATAACATATACACCCCTAATCCTTACCTGTCCACATATCTCAGAGTGGGTTCCTGAAGGATCAGCCCATATGGTGAATGTGTGAATGGTGGCTGTCGAACCAGTCTATAGCGTAGAGGATGACTCGACCGGCACAGAGGATTGTCTGGCTTTGAGGCAAGCAATGTGGCATCGATTTCCAAGTGCTGCTCCATGGTGAAGAACTGCACCCCATACACCTCCTCCTTCACATCTAGCTTAAGTGTCAACGGTGTGTCACAGAACACATACTGTGGACCCAGCGAGATGTTGTTACCACTGAGGGTCAGCAGAAGGATGTCGTGAACTGCAGGCAGTCCAGTCTCCTCCGGAGAGAAGAAGGTGACCCAAACCATATCTCAGAGTGGGTTCCTGAAGGATCAGCCCATATGGTGAATGTGTGAATGGTGGCTGTCGAACCAGTCTATAGCGTAGAGGATGACTCGACCGGCACAGAGGATTGTCTGGCTTTGAGGCAAGCAATGTGGCATCGATTTCCAAGTGCTGCTCCATGGTGAAGAACTGCACCCCATACACCTCCTCCTTCACATCTAGCTTAAGTGTCAACGGTGTGTCACAGAACACATACTGTGGACCCAGCGAGATGTTGTTACCACTGAGGGTCAGCAGAAGGATGTCGTGGATTGCAGGCAGTCCAGTCTCCTCCGGAGAGAAGAAGGTGACCCAAACAGTGAGGGAGTCAGGCACCAGCGGATAGGCAAACTCGAGCTGCAGCATACAGCCCTGGGGTGGGCAAGATGCTGAGCCAACACTACTCGAGTCTAGGCCGGCGTTGGGGCTCCAAGTGCTGACGCTCGCTTCACAGGCCTGCTCTACATCTGGTGGACCTAAAGAGGACAGCAAAGAATGAAACCAAGACTCTCTTCTTTAGTCAACATGTTTCAAACTTGGTAGCACAAGTTAATGTCATTATTTCCCCTTATACACTGTGAGGTTATGAAAATGAGAGGGGTATATTGATGCTGCCAGGATGTTGCCAGGGTATTACTATGCGGTTGAAAAACCCTTAAAACCAAATAGTAATTTTGCCAAAAAGAAATAATGAATGTTCAATAGGCCCACCATTTTTACAGATTGTAAGAAGCCATTTGAAATGGGATCCTACTTCTTTAAGTTTCATGACTGTTTAGTTATTTCAAGAAGTTATCCTGAATTCATTGCAGAAGTTCACAACTAGGGTTTGGAGAAAGAAAACAGTACAAATTTGAAGATTACTTATAAGTTTTTATATTTGAATGTACTTGCAGATTTTACAGTGTCCCATTTACACACAAATGACTCTTATGAAATGATTATTTTTTGTGAATCAGAAACATACAGCCTAAGCCGTGTACTTCACAAACAAATGACTCTAAATGAGTCAATTCTTATACTGAATCTTTCTATTTTTGGTGGACCTAAGGATAAAAACCAAGTCTGTATTGTGTAGTCAACATGTTTCAAACTTGGTAGCACAAGCTAATGTCATGTTACTTCCTCTTAAACACCATGAGGTTATGAAAATGACCAGGATCCTAGTGTCCTTGCCAGGGTACTGCAATGTGGATAAATCCTTAAACCTAAGTATGACCAATAGTAATAATACCCATGTTTGCCTTAGCAAGCACTGCTAATTATTTACAGATGAACATAAAAAATAATAATCCTGAGCGATATCAATTGCAATGACTTTTGCTATTACATCCAATTATTGGGTTATTGGATTAATGAATGGCATTTCAAAAACAAACAAACAGTTTCTAAGAGGGCCAAATGATGTTCTTCAGTAAGATGGCAGGAGGTCATGGGGAGAATTCTGGCCCTGGGCCCAGTTTTCCTTTTTAGAAACTGTCAAGAGGTCATTGTGAGGCAGCTGAAGGGGGAGGGGCCCGGAGAGTGGGTGAGATTGACAGGGAGGTCCCACTGAAGCTCTGAAGGAAAATGTGCTTAAAGGGGTCCTATTATACTCTTTTACAAAGTCTGGATTTTGTTTTGGGGGTGTACTAGAACAGGCTCTCATACTAGGTTGTTCGAAAAACACATTATTTTTGACATATTTTACATTATTACAACACCTCTCTCCCCAGTCTGGCATGAACGGCTCGAATAGTTCCTGTATCAAATGAAGGCCCGCCTTCTGAAACACGAAATGTGCTGTGATTGGTTAGCAAGGCCAGTGTGTGTTGTGATTGGCACCACTCGGCGCCTGGTCGGGAAATGTCATGCCCCTTACCATAGCCGCCTGC